AGATGTTGATAATAAACATAAATTTATAGGCTGGTGATTTTCAGACCCTTTGTTTCAGGACTCCAATGGAATCTTCAAACATGTTCAGGGTTCCAGATACTTTGGTTTTTGTGTGCTAAATCTATTGATATTTACTAAATACCAATTCAAACAAAGTTTTAAAATATTTAAAGATGAACCCATTACTTATTAATGTGAGTTTTTTTAAAAACAATTATACTTTCCAATAAGTATTTAGTGAGATGAGTGCATATCTGCTTCTTCATTGTTTGTTATTACATGCTAATTTGGCTAAAGTATCAAGAATGTTCATACTTAACTGAGAAGGCAATTGTATGTAATTAGGAAAGGGAGGAAGATTTCAATTGCCTTCTCAGATACTTATGAACACTCCTGATACTGACAAATAGTAGTTTCTTGAGTTTTCATGCTATTACATTAAAATCTATTGGTTTGTCTTAACTTTTATATATCTCTCATCCATGAGTGGTTATATAACATTGTTCACTGGTCATGTGAAAATATTAGTTAGCTCAGTGATACAGATCTTTCAATAATTCACTTTTTTCACATTTTGATACCCTGTCGTTAAATATAAATTTGCCTTTTAACCATTTTTAAGTATACAATTTATTGGCATTAATTAAATACACAGAGGTGAGGGTTCTATAACCCTACAACCCTCACCTCTATTTCCAAAACTTTTATCGTCTCAAACACAAACTAACCATTAAGCAACAACTACTGATACTCTTTTTCCTCCATCTACTGGGAACCTGTGAATCTACTTTTTGTTATCTATGATTTTGCCCATTCTAAATATCTCATATAAGTGGAATTGCACAATATTTTTCCTTTTTTGTCTGGCTTCTTTCACTTAGCAAAATGTTTTCAAGGTTCATCCATGTTAAAGGATATATCAGAACTTCATTCCTTTTTATAACTATCTAATATTCCATTGTGTGTTTATACCACATTTTATTGATGGACATTTGGGTTATTTTCTCCTTTTGGCTAACTGAATAATTGCTATAATCAACATTGGCATACAAGTATCTAAGTTCCTACTTTCAATTTTGGAGGCATATACCTGAAGCAGAATTGTTACTATTGTCACATACTAATCCAATGTTTAGCCTTTAGAGGAACCACCAAACTGTTTCCACGTGGTTACACCATTTCATATTCCCACCAGGAAAGAATGATGTTTCCAATTTTTCCACATTGTTGCTAACACTTGTTATTTTCTGTGAATGTGTGTTTTTTAAAAGTCATCCTAGCAAGTGTGAAGTGGTATCTCATTGTGGTTTCAGTTTGAATTCTTCTAATGACTAATGATGTTGAACATTTTTTCCATGCCCTTATTGGTCATTTATGTATCTTCTTTGGAAAAATGTCTATTCATATCCATTGTCCATTTTTTAACTGGGTTATTCGTCTTTTTGTTGTTAAGTTGTAGAGTTTTTAAAAATATATTCTGGATAATAAACCTTTAATTAGATATATAATTTGAAAATGTTTCTTCCCATTTTGTAGGTTGTCTTTTTCACTTTCTTGATAATGTCCTTTGATGCACAAAGTTTTAAATTCTGTTAAAGCCTACTTTACCTATTTTTTTCTTTTGTTGCTCAGCTTTTGTTCACATAGAATCCACTGCCAAATCCAAGGACATACAGATTTACTTGTATATTTTCTTCTAAGAGTCTTATGATTCTAGTTCTTATGTTAAGGTATTTCATTTTACACTATCAAAAATAATACTCATCAGTTCTATGAATGATGTCATTAATGAAGTCTTTAAAAATTGGGAAGCTGTCAAACTCACAGTGAGGATAGAAGATGTCCAGAATTCTAATTTTCACTGGAAATCTCAAAATTTATCATTGGCAACAAATACCGTCAATTGTTTTCCTTGAATAAACAGATTCTCTGAATTTATTTTTAAGAAAATGTCTGCCAAATACCCAAGTCTGGATGCGCATAGTCTATATGTCAGTCATTCTTTCAAATAAAAATGGTGTTTCTTGGGGGAAAGAGTAGCTAGTTCATCTTGTAACTCAAACAACTGTATGGGTGCTCCTCCTGGTCATTCCCATTATACTTACACAGAAGTGCTTTATGTGTACCTGCTATTTCATCACACAGAATACTAAAAAGACATCTGTTCTATAAATTTCATAAAATTAATAATTTTTACTGCTTCATCGAGGGCTATTATTTTTATTTTATCTTTTTTTGACATAGGTCTCACTCTGTCACCCAGACTGGAGTGCAGTGGTACAATCATGGCTCACTGCAGCCTCAGTCTCCCAAGCTCAGCTGATCCTTCCACCTCAGCCTCCTGGGTAACTGAGACTACAGGAGCATGTGTGCCACCATACCTGGCTAATTTTTTATATTTTTTAGTAGAGGTGAGGTTTTGCCATGTTGCCAAGCTCTTTTTAAATTTTTTATTTGTAGAAACAGGCCTCACTCTGTCACCCAGGCTGGAGTGCAGTGGCTCAATCATAATTCACGATAACCTCAAACTTCTGGCAAAGCATCTTCTCACCTCAGTCCCCAAGTAGCTAGGACTAGAGATGCATGCGCCACCATACTCAGCTAATTTTAAAATTTTTTGTAGAGACTGGGTCTCACTATGTTGCCCAGGCTCGTCTTGAACTCCTGGCCACAAGCCATTGTCCTGCTTCAGCCTTTCAGAGTGCAGGGATTACAGGCATGAGTCACCGCACCTCAAACTATCTGGTTGTTGGGGTTTATTTTTTGTTTTTAATTAAGAGATGGGGTCTTTTTCTGTCACCGGCAGGAGCAGAATGGCACCTTTTTAGCTCACTGCAGCCTCAAACTCCTGGGCCCAAACAATGCTCCCACCTCAGGCTCCCAAGTAGCTAGGACTACAGATGCATGCCCTCACACCTACTTAATTAAAAAATTTTTTTTGTAGAGATGAGATCCTGGTATATTGCCTGGCTGGTCTTGAATTTCTGGCCTCAAGCAATCCTCCCACCTTGGCCTCCCAAAGTGCTGGTATTATAGGCGTGAGCCACCATTCCAATCCCCTAGGACTATTCTTAAGTGAAACGGCCTTTTTTCCCCCTTCAAATACATGGCAGTGACATGACAAAGTCATGCAGATGATATTACTGCTAGTACAGTTTGTTGTCACTGCCTTGATTCGTGATAAGGCACCATCAGTTTTACCCAATTTAGTTCTATAAATGGCAATGTAGTGAAGAAAGTTACATAATATCTTAATATTATTAAGAAAACAGTTTTGATATCAGAGACCACTGAGAGGGTCTCAGGGATCTCCCTGGGGTCCATGGACCATACTTTAAGAACGGCTGTTTAAAATACATACACCTACTATAGGCCAGGCACAGTGACTTACAGCTAATCTCAGCAGTTTCAGAGGCAGAGACAGGAGGATCACTTGAGGCCGAGAGTTAAAGAACAGCCTGGGCAACATACTGAAAACCCATCTCTAAGAAAAGGAAAAAAATATACATATATAAATGTATACCTATATATATATACACACACACATAATATATGTAGACACATACACACAATCTCTCTCTCTTTCACCCCCCACCACTGTATACCTCCAACATTAAAAATACTTTAAAAACTGCTGTTTAAGGGTGTGACTTGATTATATATTTGAATACAAAAAGTCAAAATTGAAACCACCTTTTTTTTTTTGACATGAGTCTTGCTGTATTGACCAGGCTGGTCTTGAGCTCCTAGGCTCAGTCTTCCCACCTCAGCCTGCCAAGTAGCTGGGATTACAGGTGTGCACCACTGCACCCAACAAGTTAATCTCATAGTTCTTCCCATTGGATTGGAATGAAATTTTCTCTGTGTACAGGTTGTGTTTACATTAAGACAATTTTTTTCTTTTCTTTATGAGGCAGGGTCTTTACTCTGTTGCCCAGGCTTGAGTGCAGTGGTGCAATCACAGCTCCCTGCAGTCTCAACCTCCTGGGCTAAAGCAGTCCTCACACCTCAGCCTCTCAAGTAGCTGGGAATATTGGTACATGCCACCACATGTGGCTATTTTATTTTTAGTTAAAACAATGTCCCACTATGTTGCCCAAGCTGGTCTCGAACTCCTGGGCTCAAGCAGTCCTCCCACCTTGGCCTCCCAAAGTGTTGGGATTACAGGCACATGCCAGTGCACCTGGCATACTTTAAAAAATTTTAACATGTCATAGGCAAGAATTTTATAGTAATTTATGTGTAGGAATAAAAAGGAAATCTATGTATTACTCATACATTGGATGTCATATGATTTCTTTACTATTCAACATAGAGAAACCATCGAGACTAGAATAGCACCACCTGGCAGCAGATGTCTGTGATGGGATCCAGTAGAAGACAAATAGTTTCTTACCCAGTCTACTTTTTCTGGTGTTGGGCTTCAGAATCACTTAGGAAGGGCCGAGCACAGTGGCTCACAACTGTAATCCTAGCATTTTGGGAGACAGGCTGGCAGATCACCTGAGGTCTGGAGTTTGGGACCAGCCTGGCCAACATGGTAAAATCCCATCTCTACTGAAACTACAAAAAAAAAAGCTGGGCATAGTAGTGCGTGCCTGTAATCCCAGCTACTTGAGAGATGGAGGTAACAGTGAGTAGAGATTGCACCATTTCACTCCAGCCTGGACTACAAAGAGCAAAACTGTCTCAAAGAACACACATGCACACACATCACCTAGGAAGCCTTTTAAGAGTATGATACTTAGCACCACTACCAAAGATTCTGTTTTAGGAAGTCCAGCAATCTGGTTTTTTGTTCTATGGTTAACAAAGCTCTGCAGTAATTGCGATGTGCAAACCAGCTTTGAGAATCTCTGACCTTTTAAAGGTAAGGTGAGAAAGCCTTGAATTTGAAGAAATTGTATCTGCAATCTGCTTCTAGGATCTCATTATAGAGAAAAGAGTTTTTAAAATTGTCGGGAAGGAAAATTTAATCTTTAACCCTTTCTCCCTCCCAGAATTTGATCCTCCAGCTCCCTTCGTCACTCGCTTTTTGAACACAAGAGCAATGAAGGAAACCTTTAAGAGCTACATGGAATTGCTTGTTAGCATTGCCTTGGACCCTGACACAATGCAAGCCTTAGAGAAGAGCAATGGTACAGTCTTCTAAGTAGTTCTTTCTTGGTAGTACTTTCTGGAATTAAATAAATCTTGTCTGTTATATGTTTGTATGTGTCTTGTGTAATATATACCTAAAATTGTGAGTTAAATACATAGCATCTTAATTCTATAAAATGGTTATATATTTTCATGCATTGTCTGAATATTTAAACTTTTATTGCTTTCTCCTCATGGGAAAATTGTAAAGCTACTAACCAGTTTCTTTCAATTCTAGAATCTAATCATCCTCATAATTTACTAAGTATTAGTATTACATGGAAGGTCTGTATGTCAGTATATTCTATTTTCCAATAATTGGAAAGATGAACCAGATAAAAGTGGCACAAAGATTAAAATCATATACTTGTATCTTTATTAGAAGATACATCATAGCAATTATTTTCTAATCAATTAGTGTTAAACGAGTAAATGCATTGGGTTATACCAGTTAACATATTCCTTTTAGTTATTTGAGAACTCTACATACTGTTTTCCATAGCAGTTGTACTAATTTACATTCTCACCAGCAGTCCCACCAACTAAGAGTATCTACATAAAGGAAAATAAATCATACCAAAAAGACACCTGCACATGTATTATTGCGGCACAGTTCACAACTGTAAAGATAAGGAATCAGCCTATTCCATACCCACTTGTAAAGTGCCCATCAGCCTATGAGTGGATAAAGAAAATGTAGTGTACGTATACCACAGAATACTATCCAGCCATAAAAAAGAGCAAAATAATGTCTTTTGCAGCAACTTGGGTAAAACTGGAGGCCATTATTCTAACTGAAGTAACTGAGGAACGGAGAACCAAATATCGCATGTTCTCACTTATAAGTGGGAGCTAAGCTATGAGTACACAAAGGCAGAGTGGTATAATGGACATTGGAGACTCAGAATGGGAGAGGGTGAGAAGGGGGTAAGGGATGAAAAACTACCTACTGTGGTACAATGTACACTACTTGGGTGATTGATGCACTAAAATCCCAGACTTCACCACTATACAGTTCAGCCATGTAATCAAAACTACCAGTACCCCTAAAGCCGTTGAAATTCTTTAAAAGATTTTTTTAAAGAAAAATATAAAAGGTATAGAAAGAATATGGCATTATATTCTTATGGAACTACCGTTGTATCTTATGGAACTACCAATGATCCATCATTGTCAAAAATGTATGCAGTGCATGACTATGTACTGTTTTATTATGTTCACAGACTTAGACACATATTCTATTTTAACCTTAAAGCAACTTAGCAATTTTGTGGATTAAGACAGGTTCAGAAAGGTTAAGTGACTTGTTTAAGGGCCAAAAACTTGAAAGTGGCAGAGAAATGATTAATAGAAAAGTCTTCTAATTTCTGGTCCAGTGCTTTTCTTACCACATAATCAGAGACAGTAACCTGTATATCAGTCATTTTGGAGTCATGTGGATCTGGAAAGAACTTTAGATATTACCCAGTCTAAAACATTTATTTTTGTAAACTAAGTTCAAAAGAGATTAAAGTTAGAGAACAAGTTAGAGGTTGAAGAACCATGATTAAAACTCAGTTAATCCCAGGTCAGCATTTTTGCTATTAAATGTTAAATTCCTTGCATCATAAAATATGCTTCTCTTTGTAATAGTCATTTCTGGTTATATTTTGAAAGATTTTAAAAAATTGTTTATCAGTGTTCTCTGATTTTTCTCTTATATAAGGGGAGAAAATTATTTAAGGTTATTATTTTTAAGTTATAAATGTTTAAAACTTGTTTTTGTGGAATGTAAATATAGTATTAGAACAGATTTAATTACTAATAGAAAGACTATGTAAACAATCATTTTACTTAGCTGTGAAGTTTGTGACCTGGATTCTGGGGATTTTTTTTTTTTCAGAAATGTCATAAGAGGCAGTTAGTATTATAAAATATAATTACTATGCTGACAAATTAAGAAAGAGTCTAATAATCTAAAATGTTTAATGCTGCACCAAAACTAATTATATTCTAAAAGTGCTTCTCTTAATGGGGCTTAAAGTTCAGAGTGATATAATTGAAAACCAAAAGCTTTGAATAGGAATCTTTGCCATAATTTTACCCTTCCCATTTTTTCTAAAATAACTATTTAGATTCATATTTTTGGTACTGAGTTTTGATCATTTTTCTTCCCCTATTTTTTCTTTGCTTCAAATTAAAGTGACTTAATATCACTTGGTTGTGTTTTGTTAGATCAGTTAGTATTTTGTACTATGATTGTTCAAATTGTTCAGAGGGTAAATGAGGTCTGTAGAAATTAGGCAGCTTGCCTATTGGTCACCTAGCTGCCACATATCAGTTAAAATCCACTTCTGGTTTATCCAGCACTTCTAGTTCAGCTAAAACCCATCCTCATACAGTGCTTATCCCATCATCATACTGACCTGCCTCTTTCTCACTTGATATTATAAATCTACTTTTCAGGTTAACCTTTGTTCAGAAAGCTTCATGTACAATGTTTTGCAATCAATATTTTACATACGCTAATTAATTTAGTGTCTTTTGATATATGTTTTGAGAAAAAGTTTCATTTTTAAAAAAGTATTGACAGTTTATCCTGTTAAATTTTGATGTTTCAGATGAGCTACTTTTACCTCATATGAAAAAAATAGATGGCATGCTAAATGATAACCGAAAGAGACTTCTTTTGAATCTTCATTTGGATCAGTCATTCAAGGTATTTCCTTCTGATGACTTATTAGCAAAACTCAATGGCAATCATAGTCTTAAATATAATAGGAAGGAAAATTTATGAAAATCATTCACTTACAAAATTTTTCACCAAGAATTTGATTTTTATTCAATGTAAGTCCATTTAGTTTGTCTTTTGTGTTAACCATTTGCTTTCCTCCACTTAAATCCACTTTTTAGGCATTTATAATTATCTATTATAGCTTCTATCAAATAATTTCCAAATGTTCTCTGAAAGTATTTTCTTTAAACTACTGTATTTTAACCTTGTTTTTCTTATGACACTTTTCAAAATTTTCATGTTTCATCTGTAATTTAAATTAGCTTTTCCTTAGCACAGTTATCAAAATTCCCCTTCTTTATTTATTCAGTATCGGAGGAAACAGTGATTTTTATAATGAAGAATTAATTAATAGCAATAATAGTAAAACAAAACCTTACAATTTGTAGTTGCTATATAATAAAGTAAATTTTGCTGTGTTGTGTGCTGTTTAATATAATACCTCCCCAGCTCTGTCTAAGGCAGAATATTAACTGCCTCCCTGTAAACCATTTAACCTTATCTATCCACCCCACGGTCTTAGCAAAGTTCCCCGGCATCCAAAAGTTCCTGTGTTTCTTGAACACCAGCTGCAAGGTAACAAAGCAAATAGGCTCAAAACTGCAAAATGTGTTTCTCAAAATGCTACTTTTCAAATGTAAAGTGCATCACAAAACAAGTCACAAGTTAATTAACTGTTCTTTGTTCTGGCTTCTGTAAAACCTGCCTCTGGCTTTGTCATCCATTACCACCTAGATGCATAAAAGGGCACCCCATTTTCTTTGTCCTTTGCTCGAAATTAAAAAAGCAATTCTGCTAAGCCGGTAATCACATTAAATAAAATCCTCCTGCAACCCCTATCGGTTTCTTCAGATCTCTGATTTCTCACTACAATAAGGGTAGGAAATATGTGTAATTCTGTTCATATATATCTTGTCAATATAAATTGGTTTTGGTGTTATCAGAAATATAGAAAAAAGCTAATCTAAACCTAGGTAATTTATCATAGAAGCTACTTAAAGTTTAAAAATGTTCTAGCCTGTTTTTTTCTCTCTTTTTTTTTTTTTTGAGACAGAGTCTCACTCTGTTACCCAGGCTGCAGTGCAGTGGCACGACCCTGGCTCGCTGCATCCTTTGCCTCCCGAGTTCAAGCGATTCTCCGCCTCAGCCTCCTGAGTAGCTGGGACTACTGGTGCCGCCACCATGCCTGGCTAATTTTTGTATTTTTAGTAGAGACGGGATTTCACCAATCTGGCCAGTCTGGTCTCGAACTCCTGACCTCAGATGATCCATCCACCTCAGCCTCCCAAAGTGTTGGGATTACAGGCGTGAGCCACCGTGCCCAGCCGAGCTTTTTTTTTCAGTTGGAGAAAAGGCATGCACATTTATTAACATTCACATGGGAGAGAATCACAGAGTGATTACTCCCTAGCTTTATTCAAAGTAGAATATCACGTTGAGAACCATTTGGTTATATCTACCTTGGGGGACATTTTTTAATTAATGGTAAAAATATTATACATTTGTTTAACTTTTTCACATCCCAATTTTATGTGAACTGAATGTAAAAGTAAATATTGACTTCAATTAGGTGAAAATGAAGGTCATTATATTGAGTTCAAAATTAAATGACACTAAACTATCGTACTAGTCATCTATTCTTCACTGCCATGTACTTGCAGAAGGATAAAAAAAATTAGAAGCTAGTAAGAAATCCGGTACTAAGAATTTGGTCTCCTGACTTTTAGCCCAGTTTTTGTTTTTGAGATGGAGTCTTGTTCTGTCCCCAAGGCTGAAGTGCAGTGTCGCAATCTCGGCTTACTGCAGTCTACATCTCCTAACTTCAAGAGTTTCTCCTGCCTCAGCCTCCCAAGTAGCTGGGACCACAAGCGTGCACCACCCATATCCGGCTAATTTTTGCATATTCAGTAGAGACGGGGTTTCACCATGTTGGTCAGGCTGGTCTCAAACTCCTGACTTCAAGTGATCCACCTGCTGCAGCCTTCCAAAATGCAGGGATTTACAGGCATGAGCCACGGCACCTGGCCCTAGTTCAGTGTTTTCTACTTAACTGCTGCCTTCAAATAAATGAAATACCATATTTTGTGGAGACAAAGGAACACTTTTAGATAGGTATTTCCTAAAGATTTACTAAATCTTAAAAATTACTAGGTTTGGCTAGTCACTATAGAAATGTCAAACCAGTTCTCTAACAAGATTTCTAATTCTGTTATTAGTTATTCTGATAATTGTCACATAAAGCAATTTGCATTTCTTTCTTTTTTTTTTTTTTTGAGACAAGAGTCTCACTCTGTCTCCCAGGCTGGAGTGCTGTGGCACAATCTCTGCCCACTGAAACCCCTGCCTCTCCTGCCTCAGTCTCCGGAATGGCTGGGATTACAGGTGCCCGCCACCACACCTGGCTAATTTTTGTAATTTAATAGAGACGGGGTTTCACCATGTTGGCCAGGCTGGTATTGGACTCCTGACTTCAAGTGATCTGCCTGCCTCTGCCTCCCAAAGTGCTGGGATTACAGGTGTGAACCACCATGCGCAGCCTTAGCAATTTGCATTTCAAAGTCAGATTATATAATATTAAAAGAATGATTTGAAGTAAAACATGACAAATACTAGATTAAGAAAGATTTTCTGTTCTTTATAAATAGTGTGCTTTATCTTGGTGATGTTAGGAGTCCTGAAGCCTTTTCAAGGTAATGATGTGTTCTGCCTTTTTCTGAAATTGGTGTACTTCAGATCATCTTAGGCATCTGTGGTCATTGGAAAGATTTTGATTTTCTTATTTCATCTCCACTGACTTAACGTGTGTTGTTTCCAAATTTAGAACCTTTAGTCTTCTATTTGTTGCAAATAGTAATTCTGGATCCAAAAACGTCAAGTCTGTGCATGTTTTAAATGGAAAACACCAGAGTATATGATAAGGGCACAAATAATCTGAGAAAGGAATGAAGCTAGAATGTCATGGTAGCTCCCTCTGGTAGAAAACGCCAAAAGTGTTATTGTTTCTATCAAATAAAATTTAGTTCCCTCCTACACTTATACTAAGAAGAATTTTGGTTGCCTGTTTTTAAAAAGGTACCATTTTCAGGGCCCCCATACCAGGTACTCGGAAACAATAGATGAGTTTGGAGAAGAGTGGCTTTAAAGGTTGTGACTGTTTATAAAACAGTTGAGCTTATCGAATGAGGACTGTAATCTGAATCGTAAATATAATAGGAGGACTTCAACATTTTTAGTGTCAAAATAATAAATGATTAGGAGCTCAATGTAATTTTTATAAAGTCATAATCAAACTAGTTAAATGTAGCTTTAGGAAGTAAAGTACCATTCAGTTATTGTTTGTAGCTTTTCAGTCAGGCAGGATGATTTGCCAAGTAGGTTAGGCCATAGATATGCCCATGGCTTTTATTTATTTATTTATTTTTTGAGACAGAGTCTTACTCTGTCACCCAGGCTGGAGTGCAGTGGTGTGATATTGGCTCAGTGCAACCTCTGCCTCCTGGGTTCAAGCGATTCTCTTACCTCAGCCTCCTGAATAGTTGGGATTACAGGTATGTACCACCACACCCAACTAATTTTTGTATTTTTAATAGAGATGAGGTTTTGCCATGTTGGCCAGGCTGGTCTTGAACTCCTGGCCTCAAGCAGTTTACCCTTGGCCTTCCAGAGTGCTGGGATTAAAGATACGAGCCACTATGTCTGGCCACCAATGACTTTTAAAGGATGGAGTGGAATTGGTTTTGCCACAGGACCACTGTCAAAAACCCATCATGCTCTGTTTTAGGATCTTATCTTACAAGTACTTGTCAGGCAGTCAAAATAAGCAAGAGAAGTTGTGAAGCCAGAGAAGCACTACAGTGCCACTTCTCTTCTGTCCTCATTTTCACCAGAGGCAGATGATTTCTTTATAGCAAGGCCCAGCCACATTTCAGAGGGCTTTGGTGAAACATACATGTTTCTCTTTGTCCTTCCTTGAAGCCAGAGACACATTACTAGAAAGAACTCTCTGCCCTGTTCAGGGTTCCTAGTGTGGTGTGGTGTTGCTTAAATAAGCAGGTCATAGAGTTGGCTCACATTCAAGGGATGGGGAAATATATTCCATATCCAATAGGAAGAGCTGCAAAGAACTTGTGACCATGTTTAACTCCCCTGTGTATATATATATATGTGTATGTGTATATAAATATTTACCACATCCCATCAGTACACACACACCCCTCTGCAAACAGGTGTTTGTCCACACACACACATCTAAATTTTAGATAGCTGGAAGTAGTTTAGGTTAGTTTTCTTTTGGTGTCGGTTATTTTGCTTCATTGTTTTACAGAATGCTTTGGAAAGTTTTCCTGAACTAACAATAATTACTCGAGATTCTAAAGCAAAGAGTGGAGGAACTTCTATTTCTAAAATCAAAATGAATGGCAAAGCTTATAACAAGAAAACTCTAAGGACTTCTAAAACAACCATTAAATCTTCACAAGTAAGTGTAATTATTAATGTAACTATACCTTTTCTAATTGTTAATACAATTTGCAACGTAAAACATTGAAACAAGCAAATATTTTATTATGTTGTCATTAAGCGTGAAGGTTTTTCAGGTAAGAATAAGCAGCTCTGGCCTGAGGAACAGGGATGCAGTGTTACTTATTTTTTTTCTGTAGCATAGCATCAGGCATATAATATGTGCTCACAAATTTATTAAATTAACTAATATGGAAGAAATCATCTCATGCTTGTGTTTATATATTTGTAGGTATTTTTATTTTTTTAACCCATCGGATCTCATGTAGTTTTTTTTATTTTTTAAATTGTGTATATTTATTATGTACAAAATGTTTTGAAATATGTATACATTGTGAAATGGCTAATTCAAACCCATTAACATATCTAATACCTGCAATACAAGTATATTTGTAATTGGATATGCAGGCACATAGATAAGTGTGTACAACACATTTCGTAAAAAGATGAAATGTTTATTTCATATCTGCAAAGTCATTAAAATTGGAATTTGCTCATTTTCAAACATAGTATAAATTGTTATAACCTTTTCAGAAAACAGTTTGTCAGCATACCAGCTTCACAGCAAAAATGTATTCAGGGCTGAGCACAGTGGCTTTCAGCACTTTGAGAAGCTGAGACTGGAGGATCACTTGAGCCCAGGTGTTCAAAACCAGCCTTGGCGACAAAGCAAGGCCCCGTGTCTACCCTGAGGGGAGAAAAAAAAATTAGCCAGACATGCTGCCGTGTACCTGTAGTCCTAGCTACTTGTGAAGCTGAGTGGGAGGATCACTTGAGCCCAGGAAATTGAGACTGCAGTGAGCCGTGATTGCACCCCTGCACTTCAGCCTGGGTGACAGAATGAGATACTGTCACAAAAAAAAAAAAAATTGTGCCCCTGCAGTCCAATCCAGATGACAGAATGAGACACTGTCTAAAAATATATGTATATATATATTCCATAGAAACAGATTCACAAATGCATAAAAATACATGTCTTTGCTCATTGTTGAATTGTTTATAAGAGCAATCCAATTATTGCTGTTTGTTAAATAGCCACCAGCGTGGTGTTGGTTAAATAAAGAGCCACCTAATGTCATACTATGTGCTTTTTATAAAGAGATAGATTTGTTCATTCTTTGAAAAAAAAATTCGAGTGCCAACAGTATGCCAAATACTGCTGTACTACAGATACAACAGTGGAAACTGGTTAAAAGTCCCTACCCTCATATAGTTTATATTTGGGGAGGATGGGGAGGGACAGCTATATGTACTAAATGAAAAAATAGCCTATTCTTAGTTAGGTCAAAAACAAGTTGGAAGAAAGAAGAAAAGTTGCTGGACAATATGTATAGTATGATTCCCTTCTCATTACAAAAGTAGTGTCATTAACGTACATGTTAGACCTAGGTGGCAAACATTAAAAAATATATAACATGCCATTAACCTTGTTTAGCTCTGAAGCAGATTATAAGGAGCTTTTATTTTATAAATCATCTCATATGTTTATTGTTTAAATTTTCCTGTGATGCTTAAGTTTCAATAATACATATTTATATTCAGGATAAATAATATTTTAAAATATAATCTAAGTTCTTATTTTGAGTCTCTCCATATTAATACAAGTTAATACCTACGCATATTAGTCATTTTTAACATTGCCATTGAGACTTTATTTTCCTCAAAGTGTTCTTACTCAGATACTCCATGAAATCTATCTATAAACTTTTTTCTTTTTATAGGAGTTTGCTGTTGATCCAGAGAAAATACAGTTGTATTCTTTATATCATTCACTCCATCATTATAAATATCATGTTTATCTGATATGTAAGGATGAGGTAATTTCTTCTCATTTATTTAAAAAAGAAATGTATGTTTTTCAGAATATTAAGGAGATTCTAGCTATAGTATTTTTGAATGTTTTAAAGAGAATTGTGAAATACATGTGTGTATATATTTTGCCTATGTATTCTGTAAATAATGACTCGATGATTTGTCATTCTGAGTCTCTGCTATGTTTTGTGCTCAGATTTATGTGAGCCTCACCACCTCTTGTAGGAACTATAGTTGGTAATGTTTTGAAGCTGCTGGTGCTTGCTTTACATCGCCATAATAAATGATGTGTTATTGCATTTTGTTCTCTCACAGTGTATAATGATGTTGCTTTAATTCACTTCAGTCACTGCTTTGATATCTCACTGCCTTATTTATTATTTAGAATGGCCTTATCCCACTTAGTTGCAGGGAAATGGGGTTTTCTGCCTTGGCATGAAAAACTAAAAGTTAAAATTTAATTGTAGCTTTTACATTGTTCAGAGATTATACATGACAATATTATCACCGCATGGATGGGATATAAGCATTAATTTCCACAGACAGGTTAAAGGTTGTAGACAATACTACCTTATTTGACCAGCACTGTCACTTCTTTTAATTAAAAAGGGTTAAGTTGGCCCAAGGCTTTATCTAATGTGTTTGACAGTATTCTGGTATGGAAAGATGCTCATAAATTTAACGTTTGTATAGCAAAGGAGAGAGCAAAGATGGTGATGCAAAATAGGGTGACTGTTTTTGCAATGCTCTAAAATGTAGAATCGGCTCTAAAATTTGTCATTTGGCTTCTAACATAATTGGAAGAAATAGAGAAAGTTTGAAGTACTTTTTCTAGCCTTCCTTTCTGCCCCCTTGGAGCCAAAGATGAAAGTATTAGATCTCACCCAAATTTATGTGAAATCATCATTCTCCATGGATGGGATTAAGAAAAAATAAAATATCAGTACTTGCAGGTGAACTTAAGTATGAAGTGATAAGTACAAGCTAATGTGGCAATTTTCTTTGTTTTAGATTTCTTCGGTGCAGAAAAAAAATGAAGATTTAGGACAGGAGGAAATTGTTCAGCTTTGTATGAAAAATGTAAAATGGGTAGAGGACCTCTTTGAAAAATTTGGAGAACTTCTAAATCATGTACAGCAGAAGTGTTCCTAACTTTTCCACAAAAGTCCCATCTTTTTTATAGCACTAATGAAATCGCAGATGTGGGGTGGTCAAAGATAATCAGCTGTCAAGTAGTGGTCTTCTGCAGGCTGGCCACTTCCATCATGGAACTGTCATCACCACCTCTGCTGAAGGACAGTGGTGCTGCCTTTAGGAAGGAAGTCAGTCCTCTGGAAATGGACTTAAGTCCCACCACATTTTTACCTAATGAATGATTTTTCTATTTTGTAAACCATTGGGTAACTTGAGTTTTATTTTAAGAAACATTTTTTGACAAATGATGAAGCATGCACTAAGTATAATTTTTCTTTATTGCTAGAGAAATAACACTTAAAGTAACGAGTATTAGTTTTTTTTTTCTGACTCTGGCTAAATACCAGAATGACAGAGAAGTGGCAAAAAGCGTATGTCTCCACTCACATCTGGCCACAAAACCAGAAATACTGTACATTATGTAAACAGGTCTGCTGTGATGTGACATCCTGTATAAGAATATCATCAATTTAAAATATAAAATTTGGAAACTATTCTGCTTTACAGACTTCTTTTACTCTTAACATGTTCAGGAAACTGGATGTGGAATTGGTGCAATTCTCTGACTGCTTTTTGTGTCAAATTATATTGTGATAAAAAAAACAATGACATACTATTTTCCCTATTGCAAAGAAAAGTATTTTCATTTATACTCTGTTTTTTCCTTTGGAAATTTTCAATTGTACATTTTATTTCACTAATAGTTGTATTTTTCACAAGGAAAATGCTGTGGTTATAATTATGTTGGATATATCTCTACAACACCTTTTTTTACTTTCAGTAAATCTTTAGTTATATGTTGAATTTCTATTGTGAATTCTATCTTGAGGTAACCATTTTTGTTCATACAGATTTGCTTCAGTGTTATCCAGAATATGCATTCAGTGCTAGATTAGTTTAGCTTTATAAACAGTGCTGTGTTTAATATTGCAGTAATTTTCTAATTCATAAAATAAACTTCTTATTAACTAGCACTTGATTAACTGCTGAGGTAAAAATCTAACTACATTTACATTTTGAAGAATAAAACTGATAATTCGACTATTTGCAGTGTTAAACACAGCGTTCTTAACTCTTAGAACTGGAAGTTGTAGAGCTCTCCTTTTGGTGCCTTTCCAACCTTTATACACACTATTGTAGCTTTCTTAGGTTTGATAGGTAGCATTTCAAGTAGTTTAGCTGAGACAGTGAATGTATTAGGTTCAACATGACCTTGTGTTTTATTTGCGTTTGCCAACAGGATGCCTTATTTGTTTGAGAAAAAGATTTACTAGTGTCATTCTAAACTATCTCCTTTTTTAGGATTCTAAAGAATTTAATCATCATCCTTTTGTTTATTTTACCACCATTTAGTGCCTTAAATCCTATCAAGAAAGCAGTGTTACTGCTCAATGCCCAAATAAGACACATGGCTATTGCTATTGTCTTGATTTTGAATTAACAGGCCAACTTTTTATACTTAAAACCTCAGTAAACTGGCAAAGAATTGAAAATAATGTGACTTGATTTGAGAATAAACATTGTAGTGTTGGGTGAAAAATGAGGATTTGAGTTAAGCTTACATATTTATTTCTGATGGTTATCTTATTAAAAGCAATAATCCTTAATACTGTACTTGCCATTAGACTAGGTACTCAGTAATGGAAGTTTCTCTCAAGGGTTAAATGTTCTATTTTTGAAAGTTTTTAAAAACCTGTTTGGGTGGTTTATTTTGAAAACAAAAGTAACCTATTAGATTCATTTTGCCTAACACATATGAGAGACGCAGAGTGTCAACAGTGGGAGCATCATAAAATGAATTTTCCAAGTGAAGAAGAGTAGGAAGCAGCTGTATTTCTTTCTGATAGTAGTGACTCTGGATAGAATTGATGTCTTTCATTTCCAAAGTGCAGAGTAGGGAACTACATCTCCCAATGTAGCATTGTAAATATATATCTTTATATTACTCTTCCAGCTTACGTTCCTGAGTCATTGATAATTTAAGTATTTTTAAAAGCCACCTTACATTTAGGTAGCTCTTGGAGTGAATGTTTGAATTCACTAGCCACATTTTCTTCATGATATGCCTCTCGGCAAACAAAGATATCTCTTTAAGGTTAATCTTACATTTCCCATAGAAAATAACCTATTTCCTTTTGCACTGCGGTTGCCCTCAAACTGCTTACAGTTGTATTCACTTTAGTACAACAAAGGTTTTTATAATATGGGAGGCCAAGTCTATGGTACTGCCTCAAAGAGACCCTATTGTTTAGCTGCATCATGTTCTCTCATTTGATCCATAGAGCATAGGGAAAGACATCAACCTCAGGCCTTAGAGATAAATGGAAATGTTATTATGACAACCATTCATGAGTTATCACTTTGTATGAATTTAACACAGTCATGCGTTGCTTAACAACAGGGATACATTCTGAGAAATGCATTGTTAGGCAATTCTGTTGTGCAAACATGATAATGTACAAACCTAGATGGTATAGCCTACAACATACCCAGGCTATATAGTAAACCTGTACAGCATGTTACTGTGCTGAATACTGTAGGCAGTTGTAACACAATGGTATTTGTGTATTTAGACATAGAAAAGGGACAGTAAGAATATGGTATTATAATCATATGGGACCACTGTCAAATATGTGGTCTTTGACTAAAAAGTTGTTCTGCAACGCATGACTATAAATACCTAGCTGGTTAGCATTTACATTCCTTGCCAGGGAGTTTGAAATTTATAATAGAGAAATAACTTTAGGTTTTAGGTAGAGTTGAAGAGGTAAAGCACATGTTGCCACAACCCAGGAAAGTATTTTTAAGAAAGATTGGATTTTCCTACCTTTAGAGATCTAAAAATAATTTAATATAAAAAATCAGTTTGTGTTGGTGTTTATTACTAGTTCAGATGAGTGGCTGCTGAAGTCATAAATGTAAAATGATTTATGAATTAGCACAGTAAGTTGACACCAGAAACTGCCCATTTCTGTATCACACTATCAAACAGGAAACATTGGTAAGATGGGGGGAACAAAATCTTACTTTAAAATGGCTTATAAAATTTTCAGATTACTTTGAAAATTTTAATTTCTGTTTCTAAAACTTGAAAATATATAGATGGACTCATGGATTAAGATTGTTTTCAAAGCTTTCCTCATGTTTTTAAAGTGTAATTTTCCTTTTAATATACATATTTATTTTCTTTAAAGCAGCTATATCCCAACCCATGACTTTGGAGATACACCTATAAAACCAATATAACAGCAGGGTTATTGAAGCAGCTTTCTCAAATGTTGCTTCAGATGTGCAAGTTGCAACTTGTATTGTATTTATAGAATACAATTTTTGTTTTAAACTGTATTTCAATCAATTTCTCCAAGATGATTTTCATATAGAGTGAAATATCCCAGGATAACTGCTTCCGTGTCAGTTGCATTTGACGCATAACTGCACAAATGAACAGTGTATACTCTTGGTTGTGCATTAACTTACGTGTACAAGTTTTGGCATCTATGTTCACAAGTGCATGTGTTAGCAAATCACCTTTATTTATAAGTGACAATAATTGAAGTTAAGGCTATAAAGAAACCTACATTTGTAGTCCAGCGTTTCATTTGGTCCATAACACAATGTATGGAAATGTGAAAGACAATTTTGTACATTTGTTTGTTACTAACTCAGATCATTAAAATGAAAACAACTTTTTAAACAAGAAAATCAGAATGTTTGGGTTTTTTGTTTGTTTTTAAGAATTGAAAACAGGTATCATATAGCCAAAATCATCATGTTACAGATTCCTCACACAACCTAAACAAAGTTACAAATGGATAGGGCCCACCCATTATTTTCAGTCAGTATTTGATGAATTATACATCCTTAGCTGACAATTGCAGAATATAAAATTTAAGAGTTTCTGTTTTAAGATATAACTCTTTTAGTCCTTTCCACGTACAGAGTTACAAATCGCCAGATAGAGTGGCTCATGCCTATAATCCCAACCCTTTGGGAGGCCAAGGTGGGCAAATCACAAGGTCAGGAGATCAACATTATCCTGGCCAACATGGTGAAACCCCATTTCTACTAAAAATATAAAAATTGGCTGGGCATGGTGGCTCATGCC